CTGAAAGCAAAAGGGGAAAAGAGAAACCAAGCATAAAAAAGGGTGGGCTTATCTTACCTTCCAGCACTGTAAGCTTGGCACTGGTGTTGATCTCGCCAGCGCTGTTAGTGGCTGTGCACTCGTAAATGGCTTCGTCTCTGTGGGTGCGCAGTGGCTGGATCCGCAGCACAGAACCCGAGCCATCATCAAATTCAATCACCTGTGAGAGCCGCAGCAAAGCAAAAAGGCCAAGAAAAGTTGTTTTTAGTGGCCTCTTTTCCTTTTCCAAACATTTGACTTTATTGCACGATACAAATAAAACCCATTTTGACTTGACAGTAACAGTTGCTGCCACAAATTATTTTTCACATTTTAAACACGGATGCCAGCTGGGTAAATGGTATACCAAGTCCAGACTGTCTGATGTGGACGCATGGATCTAAACCCTAAAAAGGCCGACAAAGTGACAGAATTTCATTCATATGTCGTTTTGTTGTAGTTGTGTTCACTTTTTATTATTTAGTTTAGTTTATTCATTTCATTTCATTTAAACAAAAACAAAACACATTCAAACATAAAACGAAATGAGAGAAAAACGAGAGAAAAAAACGCACACACACATATATATTAAAATGAATTGAATTAAAATAAAATGAAATGAAAGGAAGCAGGAGAAGAAAAAATCTTACAATATCTGCCCCCTTTTTCAAAAAATAACATTAAATTCAACAATAGTAATCAAATAATGATTTAAATCAGTATATTGTCAACAAATCTTCAATTAACAAAATAAAACACACAAAAAAAATATAAAATAAATAAATTAAATAATAATAATAACTTACTCTTATGCAAACGTATGCGTATTTGCATGGTTTTTGAAATGTAAAAGTTAAGATTTGGCACCAACCTCAAAGCGCTGGGAGCTGACTTTCTTGCCTTTCTTCATCCAGGTGATTCTAGGTTTGGGCTCTCCAGTGGCCTGGCATACAAACGATGCAACTCCCCCAGAGATGCCCGTCTGGTCCTCAGGGGTTTTGATGAAAATTGGCAAGCCTGGGAAACACGGAGTGAAGCGGGGTAGAGGGAGGGAAATGAGTAAATGGAATGGAACAAAGTTGACAGGAAAGGAAAGAGGGACAGGTGAAGGTGGCGTTAGTGGCTTCTCCACACGAGCGTTTTTAAACATAAACTTTAGGTATCACTTTCTCCTCACAAAGGCATTGTTGCTCTGCACACCTGCAGCTCAGTCATGCGAGGGGAAAAAAAGCAGTCTTTGTGTTTGCCTGTCACTGTATCATGTTGAATGTCAGACCTTTTTTTTCCCTTCAAGTTGAAGCATCTGGACTGGTTGGCATCTCCCACAATTCAAACAAGACAACTACTGTGTTTGGAGTCTGTAGCTTGCCAGCGTCATTGATGATGTGTGTTGACAACAACACTGTGCACTACCATGGAGAGAACCTCCAACTGGGTTTTCATTCTTTTGCCTTGAGGGTTTGACTGGGCACCACACCTAGCATCATTGTGCGCAGGACAATGACGTGTGGATCTCTTTGACAGCCTGTCAAACCTGACATGATGCTACAATGAGCACACCTTAGCTCCCTGCTACACCGTCGGCGCAGGCATGCATAATCCTGGCCTCAGCTGCATGAGACAATGTCCTTATTACCAGCTCCGTCAGCTCATGTTTCATTTGTAGAGTCATTAAAAAGGAAGGTAGGGATCACCTAAACCGCAGACAAGCAGACTGCCCCATGGAGACACGCACAAAGGGGTAAATCATTATGCTCTGTACACAGAAGAGCCGCCAGACTTTCCCTCACTGAGAACACACGGGGGAAATCCAGCAACAGCTTTCACCATTCTTCTCCTTTTTTGTGTGTGTTTTCTGATATACTAACATTGCAGGGAGAGAGAAAAAATATGGGACGTGGGGTCAATATCTGGTCAGAATAACACCGCAAATCATTCATGTCGCTCAGTATTCACTTAGAAAAGAGATGGTGCAGTGTGACTTTGCTCAACACGTTTTCTTTAAGCAGCAGAGGAATGTAAAATCAGACACTGCAAACCTGCAGGCACAAACGATACGTAAAACTTTTATGTTATACGAGGTGACTGCAAACATTGTAATGCAAGAGTGGGATCATCACAGGGCGAAACACCTGCAGTAATCTAACAACACGGCAAATTTTACAGTTTTTTTATTTCAACATTTTGACTTAAAGTCTCTATGAGAATTAAAAGGCCATTTTAGTGAAGCTGAAATAATTTGCAAGTTGGAAAAAAAAGAAATGTTAAAGTTTAATTTAAAATCCTAGGAAAAGAGCAGAATGAAGTTTTATTCAAAAAAAAAAGAAAACTGGTTAAATATTTTCTGTGTAGACGTTTGCCTTTTTCTTTGATTCATTGTCAAACCTTGTACAAAGCAACGGTTGCTTGTATTTTTTATTATGTAACATTGTTTATTGTGCTGTCCTTGACCAAATAAAATGAAATGAAATTAATGAATTTAATTAATTTCATTAGTGAACATTTATGATATTTTAGAACTGGCTACTTTAGGAATGAAAAAAAATGAAATGTTTTTGTAACAAATTAATTATATACTTGAATACTGTGCTTAGCTGGGTGCCAAAAACAGCCTATAAAAGCTGAAGAGATGAAGTTAAAGCAGTTGCAATAGTATAATTTATCAATCAAATATAAGTTTATATCTTAAAACTGCACAAGGACAAAATGAGCTGCTATTTTATTTAAAAATATTTACTAATATTCAAAAAAAAAAAAAAAAAAAA